GTAACAGGAGTTCTGAAGGAGGGTGCCCACAGTGACAGACAGCTCATCTGTCTGGGGCAGCTGGGAAGGCTTCTTGGAAGAGGTGACCATTGTGATCCAGCCTCCCAGCCTTCCGCTCAACAGAAGCCTTCCGTGCCCTATGCCAGGCCTGGTGCTGGATTCTAGGATTGGAGGGGAACAGGCCACAAATCCTGCCCTTGAGGGGCCCACTTCTAGGAGGACACACAGGGAAACATAAATATAGAGTGACAGGGCCTAAGTGGAGGTGTGTACGGGGAGGTGTGAATGGGTCTGGGAGGTGTGAATGGGTCAAGGAAGGCATATATGGGACTGGGAGGTATGAATAGGTCCGGGAGGCGTGAATGGGTCCCGGGAGGTGTGTATGGGACTGGGGAGGTGTGTATGGGCCTGGGGAGGTGTGTATGAGTCTGGGAGTGAATAGGTCTGGGAGGTGTGAATGGGCCTGGGAGATGTGTATGTATGGGCCTGGGAGGTGTGAATGGGTCTGGGAGGTGTGTATGGGCCTGGGGAGGTGTGTATGAGTCTGGGAGTGAATAGGTCTGGGAGGTGTGTATGGGCCTGGGGAGGTGTGTATGAGTCTGGGAGTGAATAGGTCTGGGAGGTGTGAATGGGCCTGGGAGGTGTGTATGGGCCTGGGAGGTGTGAATGGACCTGGGAGGTGTGTATGGGCCTGGGAGGTGTGAATGGACCTGGGAGGTGTGTATGGGCCTGGGGAGGTGTGAATGGGTTTGGGGAGGTGTGAATAGGTCTGGTAGGTGTGAATGGGTCTGGGAGGTGTGAATAGGTCTGGGAGGTGTGCATGGGTCTGGTGTGGTCAACTATAAAACACAGGGACTTCCCTGGACCTGTTCATGTTCCTTCCAACTCTGCACATGCACACATTTACCTCGAGTGCTGCAAACACTGTCAGGATGCACACCATCAGGAAGACGGAGGCACCCTCAGCCGTTCCCACCAGTCTGAGGCCCCTCAGCCTGAATAAGCAAGCCTCCTTCTAGCTGACTGCACGGGCCCCACACGCTCCCCGGACACAGTGCCTGTGCCCAGAAGGGTTCCCATCCCTGCACTCAGGGGCCGCACGGCATGGTATGATGGCCTCAAAGGTGTGCTCAGAAACGTTCGAGTGTGGGCGGGCTGCCTGGGGGGCTGGGTGTGCAAAAGGGACATATACAACCAGCAGAAGTTGCAAGATGACACAGTAAAGGGTTTAAGAGGCGCAGTCACCCCCCCCCCCCCACAGGGCTTCCCAGACCCTGGGTCCATTTCCCGTGAAGGACTGGGGAGACGTGGGAGCTATGGCAGCCGCGTGCTCTGGCATGGCTGCAGAGAGTCCGTCCCCAGTGCTTAACACAGTAAGTAGAGCCGTCTATCAGATCTCAAGACAGGGTCCTCATTCCCCCCATCTCCTACTCCAGTCTCTGCCAACCCACACCCACTCAGGACCCGCAGACAGAGAGCCCGGGAGGCAAACGGCTTCCCGAAGTGGGAGTGCTGCCGGGAAGGTGCGGCGATGGACTGGTGATGTCTGCGCAGGGCAGGGCAGGGCAGCGCTTTTCTGGCCCCGAGGAGGTTTGGAGGAACAGGGGAAAGCCTTCTGTCACTGTCATCTTAGTGTGCGTTCTCGGTAGACGGTCATCTGGAGTGGCACACGTGTCCGTATGTCTCCATGGGGATGTGAATATATGCATATGGTTTATCCGAATCACCAATGAACCAGAACCTCACATTTCCCAGCCATTTTAGAATCTGGGAATTGCTGGAAAAAGACAAAGCCACACCCAGTTTCATATGCTGAACAACCTTAAGATCATCAGCTTGATCATGGTCTCACCATCATCATCATCACCACCATCATCGTTACCGTCATCAGCATTCTCATCCTCATCTTCAAAGTCACTATCATCACATCATTAACAACTTCATCATCCTCTTTATCATCAACATCTTCATCCTCCTCCTCCTCCTCCTCACTGTCATCATCATCTTCATCCTCCTCATTATCATCATCTTCTTTTTTCTCACTGTCATCATCAACATCACTGTCATCATCTTCATCCTCACTGCCATCTTCACCCTCATCTTCATCCTCCTCACTGTCATCTTCCTCACTATCATCATCATCATCAACATCTTCATCCTCCTCTTTATCATCATCTTCATCACCTTCATCCTTCTCACTGTCATCAACATCACTATCATCTTCATCCTCCTCCTCCTCATTAACATCCTCATCCTCAGCATCCTCTTCCTCCCCCACATCTTCCTCATTGTCATCATCACCATCCTCCTCCTCACCATCAACATCACGGTCATTATCACTGTCACCCTCATGAACATATCCATCCCATCAGCACCATCACCAGCACCTCGGTAACAGCAGCTGAAATGTTTACAGAGGGTATCCAATGAGCCAGGGTATGCTCACATCCTTTATACACATCCAGTCCTTACCCTATCTCCATGAAGCCGGTGCTTTTATCACCTCTATTTGACAGACTGACAGAGGGAAATAGCTTGTCTCTGCTTTAACCAGCACCTGCGGTGGAGGTATTTTGGGTCCATCTAGCCGAAGGAGAAACTGAGGCTCAGGAGGGAAATGACTACCTAACCCTTCCCATCGGAGGTGGGCGGCAGCCCGGGCCAAGCCCCCCCGCTGCTCGCTCTCACTAGGCAGAGAGCCTTCGTCCCGCGGGCCCTCGCATCGCTCCAGGCACCTTGCAGGTGCTCCTGTAAGTTAGGCCAGAGACCAGCTCAGAGGAAATGTGCTCTGCCCTCTGAGGATGTTCAGCGGCTGAGGCGCTCCCAGGGAGCCCGAGTTGCCCTGCAGGGGGCGGCCCACACCGAGCCCAGGGCCGCACAGCTTAAGGGAACGAGCGCACAGCTTAGTGGGGGAGCAAGACACGTCACAACCCAGAGCCAGAAGTGCTGTGACGGGAGGCTAGCCCGGGGAGCGGGGGAGGCGCTATAGCAGCTGTGTGTGCGTGTGTGTGTGTGTGTGCGCGCGTGTGCGTGTGTGTGCCTGTGTGTGTGTGTGTGTGGGGAGTGGAGTGATTGTATGTATATGTGTGTGTGTGTAGTGGAGTGTGTGTGTGTGTGTGTGTGTGTGTAGTGGAGTGTGTGTGTGTGTGTGGAGTGGAATGTGTGTGTGTGTGTGTGTGTGTAGTGGAGTGTGTGTGTGTGTGTGTGTGTGTAGTGGAGTGTGTGTGTGTGTGTGTGTGTGTGTAGTGGAGTGTGTGTGTGTGTGTGTAGTGGAGTGTGTGTGTGTGTGTGTATGTGTGTGTAGTGGAGTGTGTGTGTGTGTGTGTGTAGTGGAGTGTGTGTGTGTGTGTGTGTGTGTGTAGTGGAGTGTGTGTGTGTGTGTGTGTGTGTGTAGTGGAGTGTGTGTGTGTGTGTGTGTATGTAGTGGAGTGTGTGTGTGTGTAGTGGGAGGCATCAGCGAGGGCTTCCTGGAGGAGACAAACCTAAAGGATGATGAGAAATGAGCCAGAACACAAAGGTGGGAAAGGAGCTCCGGGCGAGGGAAAGCCCGGCGTGCGTCTGTGTGGCCAGGATGTGTGTTCCTGCGGGAGGTGAGGGGCCAGGGCCGGAGCCAGGCCGGGGAAGGGGAGGCCCTGGCACTTTGCGGCACACAGTCAGCCTCCTCCCTCTCATCCACACTCAGAGGATGTCGGCTCATCGAGCCAGCACTGTGACCCCCGCCCGGGCTCCAGCCGAAGCCGGGCGCTGGGACGTGTCAGGGAGACAGGTAGGCGGCCGAGCGTGGCCTCCTGGCAGGGCTGGAGGAAGGGACCTGAGACCTGGGCCAGAGGAGGGTAAGCTGAGGGAGCAGCTGGAACCCGCAGAGATGGAGTCACCCTCAGCTCTCCCTTGCCAGAGCACTGGGCCGGAAGCGGGAGCAGAGGGTCAGAAAACGGGCCACTTGGAACCACCGAGCTAGCCAGCCCCCGGGCGCTGCGGCAGCCGGCCAGGCGTGCATCTGGCTGATGTCCTGCCCGATCCGCCTCTGCCTGGCCTCCGGCCAGAGGGCTGTGGGCAGGCGCCAGCTCCCCCAGGCTCCCGGGCCCCAGGGGGGCCAGGACGCTGCCAAACAGGCACGGCCAGGCCATGCCACCCGGCCAGCCGCGGCCGTAGGGGGATGCCCAGAACGAGAAGGATAAACAGCCAGTGTCCCCAGAAGGCACAGCCGCTTTAGCAAAACTCGGGCTCCCGTGAAGCGCGTCCAGAAGTGCGTGTGTCGCTTTCCTAACAGATCTCACGGGGAAGAGCGGGGGCATGGTCTGGCGAGGAGCCGCGGGCCAGGAGTTCAGAGACAGGGTGAGCGCCGGCCATGCCGCCGAGAGCACGGGCCTCAGTTTTCCTCATCCACAAAGTGGGTAGGATGGGGGAGACTGCAGGCAGAGCTGCTCATCTTGGGGTGCACGTTGGTCACGTGCTGTTTGTGGCCCCGGAGGCTGGCCCTCACCAGGCCTGCAGTCACATAAACCACCAGACCCTCCCGGACAAAGCTCCCCAAGTTCCATCCGGCCTGGGGAGAAGGACCCCAAGACGAGGAGGCCGCTCCTGTCTCTCAGCGTGGCAGGGCGGTGTCCGGTGCCACCCGAGGGCAGGGAAGGAAGGCCGGACAGACAGACAGCACATCTCCCAGGCCCTGCCCGGCTCTCGTCACTGAGCCAGCCCCACGCTGTGGCCAGCTGCTAGCAGGTCCTTCGGAAGCCAGGCCACATGGGGTGACTCAGAGACTTGGGGTTGTCTCCTCCGGCCTTCACCCCACACACATCCCGCCGAGGAAGATGGGCAATCGATCATTCAATACGATCGAATCGATCGAGTCGATCATTCAATCATCTCAATTTCTTCCAAACTAAACACTCCAAAGTTCCAAACCAGGGGGAGCCAGGCCCCCAGGACTCCCGATTCCGCCCCCGGGCGGGGGAGCCCCGGCGGCGGCCGGAGGCCTGAGGCTGGCAGGGCTCACTCACCTTCGCACTTCTTGCCTCCCCCCTTCCAGCCTTCCCCCTGGAAGCCGGGCTTGCAGAGGCACCGGTAGGACTTGGGCGTGTTCTGGCAGATGGCATCGATGTGGCATTCGTCCGTGCCCTCCGAGCACTCGTCCACGTCCACGTCCCCTGTGGGGGAGGGGAGACACTGGGGGTGAGGTGGGGCCCGAGGCAGGCGGGCGGCGGAGCGGGGCGCCTCCTGCCTCGGCCCCACATTGATCACTGGACTAATTAACGGCCGCAGCTGCGCCGTGAGCATCCAGTGTGACGAGGGGCCTCGGGGGCATTGTAGGGGCAGCTGCTCTCTGCCAGGCTCCCGAAGTGCCGGTTCTCGCTTGGGTTCACCACAGCCACGAAGTCCATCTATTATCCCACCAACGGGGAGGAAGCCGAGGCTGGGAGTCCAGTGAGGAGCAGCCCCGCCGGTGTCCTGTTCCCTCCACCCGCGCTGCTCCCACCCGCCCGCTCTCCATTGCAGGGTTTAGAGCCCTTGAGAGCATTTAAACCATCCCCAGACAGAGGGATGGCCCAGAGGGCAGTTCACCGTCACCCAGGGGCAAGCCTGGGCAGTCCTGGGTGCCCTCCTCTCTCCCTGCCTCCGGCTTCCCCTGAGGGACTCCCTTGGCTGCACCAGGCTTCCTCGGGGTCCAGGTGGGATCTCTAGGGAACCACTGCTGGTTTCCTCTGCCCTAATCCTCAGGCTCCAGCCTGCCACCCAAGGAAGAAGCATCAAAAGAAATATAGTCACTTCCCTGTACATTTGCACATGTGCGCACACACACACACACACACGCACAGACCCATGCATGCACGCGCACATGTGTGCACACAGCAGCTGGCACCACTTTTCAGGATGGCTGGCGTGCACAGGTCAGCAGCTGGCTCTACATCTGTCCTAAGGGGCCCGAGCAGGACACCCCCTGGGAAGTGGTGACAGAGGGACCCCCATGCAGGGGTGGTGCAGCCTCAGGCAGGAGCCAGCGGCCAGAGGGCACTGCAGCCCCCTGAGACAGGACAGCGGGAGCGGGCCCGGCCCCCGCTCTCCCGCTTCCTGGGGGCCAGTGCACAGGAGGGGGGCTGCCGGGGCCGTGTCCCGCCAAGGCCGTGTCCCACCGAGGCCGAGGCCGGGTCCTCATGAGGATGGAAGGAATGACTGTTAGCTAAAGGGCACCCTGGGGGGGGGGGCTTGGAGGGCAGGTGAGCTGCAGGAGCGGAGAGCAGCCACGGGCCATTTGTCCCATGGTGCCCAGCCATGCCCCCCTGCCCCCCGGCAGCCCAGCCTCCCCATGGCGGGCTCTGGCTTTGGGGTGTCCCCAGCACAAGGCGCCCATGGGTGGAGCTGGGGTGGAGACAGACACAGAGGAGAGCCGGACGGCGGGGGAGGCGCATACAGGACCAGCCAAACGGAGTTTAGGACCTCAAAGCTCAGGAGAGGCACCCCCAGATAAGGGGTGTGGGCAGCAGGACCCAGCTTCCTGGAAAAGCAGCTCAGCTGCAACTGCGGGACAGCTGGCATGGCCCCGCATCCTCAGGGCGTGACTCCAGGGCCAAACGAGACCTCAGGGAGCCCCGTGTGCCAGCCGGTGTGGGGTGTATGTGTGGGGTGTGTGTGTGTGTGTGTGTATATGTGTGTGGGGTGTGTGTGGGTGTATGTGTGCGCGTGTGTGTGGAGTGTGTGTGTGTGTGTGTGTGGTGGTGTGTGTGTATGTGTGTATATGTGTGTGGTGTGTGATGTGTGTGTGTGTGTGTGGCCGGGGGGCGGTGGAGAAAGCCCAGGAGAACACCCGGGCAGCAGGACCATCCCTGACCTCCCCACACCAGGGAGAGGAAGGGAGGAAGCTGGGGGGGGGGGCGCCCTGCCTCAGCTTTGTGGGGAGTCCCACCCAGACAGCCAGGGCAGGGGCAGGGACAGGGGAGGGGCAGGGGCAGGGGCAGGGGCAGTGGGGCCCCATGACGTCCTGGGAGCCCTCCTCTCTGCTGCCTGCTCTGACCCAACCTGGGGCTGGGCTACTCGGATGCCAGCACCTCCTTCCTCCGTCCGCTGCTTCCTTCCCGCCTGCACTCCGGCCACCGTCCCAGGTCTGCTCTCCTCCTGTTTCCCCCAGCGCCGTCTGTCCTGTCCTCCCTCCTGTCCATCTGCCCGTGCTTTCCAACCACTTCCATCCTTCTCCCCTGGCTTCTGCCCCGCCGCTCCTCTCTGCGCTCCGTCTCCCTATTCGATCTTCTTTCTGCTGCTGGTTGCCTCCTCCCTCCCTGCATCTCCTGTCCTGGGTGTCTGTCCCTCCACGCCCGTCTTCCTCTGGGTTCTCCCTGTCCTGTGAGCGCCCTCCGTGTCTCCTCTGTCCGTCTGTCCCGCCATCTGCTCCCCTCCTTCCTCTGCGCCCCTCCTTTCCCCGGCCACCCCCTCGCAGCCCCCGCTACCCCCGGGCTCCCCGCTCGGTCCTCGCGGGCAGGCGGGCAGGGGGCCTGGCCGCGGCCTCGC